TCAACGAATATTCCAATCAGGATAAACCCAAAGTGATGAATATTCATGGATAAATCCGGAGATTCTACTAGTGATAACTAAAGTACCTGAAATTCATTGGAGGAGTTGTTAGGATAACGTTACTCTTCAGTATCTCTCTTGTGAGGTATTCTCACCTTTTAGGGATATTTTATAGAACAATGAACGTATATTTTCCAAAAATCCCAGAACCATGCCATTAAATTGGATGGAGCGAAACATAGCACCTCTTCCATGAAAACAACAAAGCTTTACATTCGGATGAACATAGAAAATGGTATGTTTAACGTTTTAATCGATTAGAGGTGAATTGAAATTTATTTCACTTATCTGAGTCGGAAGCCAAAATAATAGTGTTGGCATGTTCATCAATTTGTTCAATCGGAAGTGATTATATTGATGGACTTCTGAAAAATGAACTGAAAATATGTGATACTGGGGAGGTATTTCATGATTCTACCATTTATCAACAAGATAATGCCGTATATAGTTGGTCCAACTAATAATAATCAGTTAGATCGACTGAACACTTTGAACACATATGTGAACTAACTAATTTTACCCGCACCTCAAAATTTAAGTGAAACAGTTCAATATAATTGAGAGTTTGAATGAATTTACATTTCGAAGATACGAAACATTTCTTGATTTTGAGATAACCACTTTTCATCAGGATCAGCAGAACCTCATACGTTTGTTGTTCCTCATCGTTCCTCATGTTCCTCGATAATTGAATTGTTTTGAATCATTTCACGATTCATTTGGTGAGTATTTTCATCAATTGCAACAAACAGATCAATAATCACAGATTGAAATTATAACCAATTACTGATCGATCAGCCATAGTTTGATTTCTTAATTTAATAAGTTAACATCTCCTGAAGATGCCACCTTGCTTGATGAAACGCGCCTCGAGATTTGTATTGCATTTTCAGTGATTGGTGAAATTGCTTGTTTTGAATTTATTTCACGTAAGACTTTCCAGTTTTATGTTTTATCAGAACTAAGCAACGGATTTTTTTAATAGATTGATTCAAGAGGAAGGTTTATATGTACATAAGTTAGGTTAGGTCTAAAGTGAGTGGTTCTATTCGACCCTCCACCGCAACTCACAAGGGTTTATTGTGACTCACACCTATTCACACTCGGCTAAATAAACCCAGCGTTTTAACGAAGCCGATTAGTTTGTATAGTAAGTGGTCTTCCAGGTCAGATAGTAAAAGTACGGCTCTGCCGAACTCTGGAGACCTGATTCTGTCCCCAGCGGGGCAGGCACAAAGTATATGCTCTGTTAATGAGGTAGTCGGATAGTCAAGTTGCAAGATTCCTACCTTGATATCCATGAGAACCTTCCCATATGAGGGTTTTTGCACATCAGCTACACCTGACGATGCCTTAGATTCAGCCGTGCAGGGCTTTTTTGCCTCTGGTTTTGGTGAATTATTACTTGAGCGCAAACGTTTGCTAACCTGCTCATAGGGGGTTTGTTCCCCATCCTGAGACAGATTCTGTATACGCCGCTCAAGAATTTGATGCAAGGCGGTTTTATAAGGTACCCCGCTCTTGAGGAGACGATTCAGTCGTTTCCTGGCTGCACCACCAAACATGTATATAACATGCAAAATATAGTAGAGAAACACTGGTAATATAATTTTAGAGGTTTCTAATGTGCACTTGAATTGCAAACGCTGCCTGAACCCTACGAGATAGATCAGAAAATGTACCTACAGTATTGTACACCTCAGAAAGGTTTACAAAAAAGTCTGCCTTCAAGAAAAACTGAAATCATTCCGTAATCAAGTGTTCTTAAAATAATGACACTGGGAATAATGCCCGAATAATTCCTTGATAAATTTTAGTAATTGCCGGATACTATTTCATTCAATTTATCCCACCTCACCGCCACAAAAAACATTCTGTCGAATGGGTAAATAAATGCTTTCGCTAAATCGAGTCCACTAAAGTAAATGAGAACGCTTTCTATTTCCAATTTAAGAGCTCCAAGTTTGGGTGTTGATGTGCTATCTGGAATTGATACGTGAATTCTTGAAACATTCACTTCGAGGTACAGTTTCTACGAGTATCGTTGGCACATTGACACACGTAGGGAGAAGTCCAAATTGGAATTACCGAGTATGAAATATATTTGCCATATTGAGAAATTTCTCTTCAATTGACCTAGATTAATGATTATCAAAGTCATCTTTGATGTAATTTGTATCCAGTCGAAGAAGTGGAAATTATTCAAGTAAACATGAAACTTCAACATAAACTAAGTAACGCAGATGATATTTCACCTAAAATAATGAAGTAGTTTGTTCATTTTCCTGTACCAAGGCATTCAACCTGGGCTGAAAAGTTCCAGGCCCAATGAAAGAAAACACATTTTATTGTTCCAAATTGGCTTCATCAAGAGCCACACAATCATTGCAGCGCCGCTGTAACATTTCAATACCACTTTTGTAGAACGATTAATTTTATGCCTTGAAATAGGCCTCAGTTTCAGCAATAACCTTTTCATTCGTTGAAAATTGGGGTCACTTTGCCTAACTTTTATTTAAAGTTTTACATTGTAATTTCAGTTTTTTTACCTTCTCATCCTTCATACAGAGAAAGCATTGAAATCACCAAAAACCACGAGTAATTTTGTCCACAAAATTTTTAAAACTGGCAACTGTACTACTTATTTTCGATTTTTTAGCAATTTTTTGTCTTTACTGTGGCTCTTGTAACACCCGAGGAGGTGGCTTTGCCCATCTTTTATTTATAGCTTTGTTATACAAAGAAAACATTTTTATTTAAGAGGGGGAATGATATAAAAATGAAATAACTACATAAATAACATCTACCAACCATCTTCCAAAGGTACACATTTTATCTAGGATATCAAAAAATAGGTGTTATGTGAAAATTGTCAACTTAAATTTTGAAATTGGGCAGTATCACCCTAATTGACCTGTAATATTTTTTCATTGGAGCGAAAATTCTAACCAGTAAGCATTTTTTGAGGTCTGCGAACAGCAAGTAGTCACTTGGAGGCAAATCTGGCAAATTTGGTGTATAAAGGAGAAATTTAAGGCCTATTTCATGCAATTTCACCATAGTTTCCATTGATTTTTGACACTGTACATTGTCTTGCTGAATCAGCACTTTTTTTTTCTTCAAATGGGGTCGTTTTATCGTAATATCGGCCTTCAAACGCTATTTTATATCCACCGTTGATTGTATTTCTCTTCTCAAGATAGTCGATGAATATCACACCACGCATATCCCAAAATATCGAGACCATAACCTTTACAGCTGATTGATGTACTTCGTGCGCTTTGGACGAGGTTCAATAGTTGCTCTCCTCTCAAATGACGATAGTTTTGATTCCGGAGTGAAGTTATGGATCCACGTTTCATCCATTGTTACATATCGACGCAAAAATGCCAGTTTGTTTTGTTTAAAAATGGCCAAACACTGCTCAAAATCACCAAGATATTTTTGTTTGTTTGATATCTTTACAATGTCAGTTACTCACGCAACGATTTTGTGAATTTCTTAATGTTTTCTGATATAACTGCCGTATTTGGATGTCTACTGCATTCTACATCATCGACCACGTTCGAAGTCAGCAAACCAACGTTCAAATGTTGTTTCTGATGGAGCGGAGTCCTTATAATACTTTTCAAGCCATGGCTTCGCTTGAACGGTATTTGTTTTTCATCAAGAAAAATTAAAACACGACACTATTTTTGATCCATTGTTTCGAAAATAACAACAGAAGTGTCACTCTCAGCACAACAACTCACAACTTTATGAGCAGATTATTTTGAAAGTTTTTTTTAGAAGGTTAGTACTAACTGAAAAAGCGGTAAATGCAATAAGCCTAGCGTCATCAATGTGTTCGGCCTAAGACTTTTCAGCCTATGTCCTATTTATCATTTGTTTAGTGTCAGCAAAATTTCCAGATCGAATAAAACTGGTGATAATAGTATTGATTAACACTTAATAATGCGTTTGGTGACAATCTTCTCCAAGTTATTCAAAGTGATTATGTCAACTAGAATTAAAAATCTCCTCAACATGTATTATGATTTCCAACAGGATTTTACCAAAGAAAAAGGCACAAAAACAGCAGTAACTGATTTTTTTGGTCAAAATAAATTCTTTATCATATCAAGTCTGTCATTTCGCCTCTGTTTGGAAAATGATGAAACAGCAGAGTACATACTTTGTGCCTGCCCCGCTGGTGATCGAATCAGGATTTTAGACAGAGCCGTACTCTTTTCATCTAACCTGCAAGACCACTCACCATACAAACTAATCGGATTCGTTAAGAAGCTGGATTTACTTGGTCGAATGTGAATAGGTGTGAGCCACAATATACCCTTGTGGGTTGCGGTGGAGGGTCTAATAGACCCACTCACTTTGTACCTAACGTAACCTAAGTCTATCGTTCTTGTGGTGTATTACTTCCTTCTTTCCTGAGGAAGCTACATTATAGCGATACACGTGTAAACTGTTTACGAAACAGCAATATGTGTTTCGCTATATAACAGCTTCCTCATGCGTTCTCAAGTACACGAGTCAGCTATCGTGTATAGCGAAACATTTGTTGCAGTTTTGTGAACAGTCCAGTAAAATTCTCACAATTATGTGTTGGTTGAATATGTCATGAGGAATGTGAAATATCAACATCATCATGTCACTGTGAACATGAAGACCATAATGTAAATATTACAAAAATAGTGAGGAGTTGACGAATTGATCCCCAACAGTAGACAAATTTCTGTGAATTGGTCAAAATTTGATATATAAATAGAATGATATATATATATCAAGCATTTTTGAAAGAATAACAAAAACATATATTCATTCATGTGGCTAGAATAACCCATATTGTCATATTTCTAGAAGTAACTCGACTGAGAGCTTCTTTATTTTGTGCAATATTTCAGTGTAGACCGTAAAGTAAGATGAAATATTTCAATACTCACATTTCCAAAGGTTTTTTTATTCATTGTAATATCAACTTCAGCAGATTGTGGCCTCGGAGGAAACTCATCAATATCCATTATAATCACTGGAATATTTCGTTCTATTTTCCGAACGTCGCCTTTTTCATTTCCCTGAGTATTCTCGAGAATGCACGTCAACTGTAGGCTAGTATTATCCTTCTCAATTTTACTTAAAGAACGAACAGTACTAATGGACCAGAAGTTACGTTTTTCATTCGGAGGTATCAAATTGAAATTTGGATCTGAAACAAGCATGTAAAAACAATAAAATTATTGGCAAGTACTCGTGTTGTTCTGTATAATTCTGATTTGGATTCGCTAATGAACGCAGTTAGAGAAAAATCCACTTTTATTGGAAGAAGAAGTCTAAGGACCTCAGAACTTATCATATCGTGTCGTGCCGTGTCGTGCCATGTCGTGTCGGGTCGGGTCGTATCGTGTTGTATCGTGTCGTGTTGTATCGTATCATGTCGTATCGTATCATATCACATTAGAATTTTGAGTGATATCATTCATTATTTCCACCAGAAGTAATTTAAAAAAACGTGAAAAAAATGAGGAACAGAAAATGGATATTCAATATATAGATAATAGTTCTATGAAAAACTCAAATCAAGAATAACTGAACAACCGATTATAGTATTGGGAAGGTGTTAATGAGTTTGATTCAAGTATATTTGAGCATGGTTCTGCTTTGCAAAATATCGCTATTGGAGACACGATTTCATATTTGGTAAGTCTCCAAGGATTCACTGAGGCATTTCTCAGGGATTTGTATCACTGTAGTTCCGGAGAACACAAAAAGGCAATTTGATCGTTCAATCAAAAATATATAAGATATAGATTGAAGCAGACAAAAACCCAAATGAAGATCTACATATTTACATTCGATAAAACAATACAAGACCTACACAAACCAATAAATTACAACATTCATCTTTTTCTCAATACAGGGTATTGAAAATGTACTTCCTCTCGCCTTGCATTTTTTGTGAACGAAGAAAATTGCAACTCAATCATCTACATATCGTAAAAGCGTTTCACGATACATACATATATTTCCTAATTTATTCTATCAAGAATGCATTTTCTAAAGAAAATTTTCGTAAATATCATTTGGAAATGTTTTGTCAAAATTTTATTTCGATCTCAAATATCTAGCGGATAAAGCTTCTGTAGAGGTGTCAGCAATTTCAGTTCAACTAATCTGGCAACTCTATCCTGTCGCATTCGCCAAATGTAACTACCAAACGGTAGAGTTTCAGCAACGTACGGAGCCAAAATGATTCAAATAGAAGCTGTGAAAGTTATAATCGAAAAAGTAGTCTGATCTCTTTGGAATATAACAAAACGATCGACTACATAATGTTCTTTTTTTGAATTTTTGAAGGTCTACAAAAAATCCATGACCACATATCGTAATGTGAATATTGCATAAGTCCAATTTTTCACAAAATTAGTTTTTAGCTCTATCTGTTAGCGAAGCAGCGTATCTATACATTCAAATCAAATAACTATGTGCATAAGTCCTAGTAAGTGTACTTTGATGGTTCTGTCTCTGTTAGGTGTCGTGCTTTTTAGCTTGTCAGACTTCAAATTACCCGTTATTTTATCAGAATGAGATTCAATATCACTAAAGTAAGTACATACTATATAAATTCAAGCTTTTGAAATGTGTTAACATATATTAGAATGGATTAATGTCATTTCTGTAAACTTAGGGAGTTGTGCATTTTTCACGCTGCTGATATATTTAGAACTCACGGGAGTTATGCATGTTACAAAGCCTTTTGAATATCAATTATTACTGTAGAGATGGATTTTACCAGGGGCTTTATAACCTGGGGGCTTCTTTATTGGGATGTTTTTATCAGTGGCTTTACACTTTGTAGCTAAAGATAACCAGTATTTTGTTTTAGCTTGTCGTAGGACAAGAAGTTTCAAACTGTTGAGTTTAACAAAACATCCGACCAACGCTTTGAAGGACAAAACTAACGATAGTTCTGTAACATCAACTCGTGATTCTACAGAATGAATACGACAATAAAACTGTTCAAAGACAAAGATCAAGACAATCATACTGATACAAAGAGCGCGGAAAATGAAAAGTGTTTTGCAGAAGAATACGAGGAAAAACTACAGTTGGCTCTAGCAGAATTAGAACAAGAAATTCATTTACCAGAAAACATTTTAGACCTAGGGAAAAACAAAGATTTATCATCCAGGTTTCTCAACAATGCAGTAATATCCGGCATACAGCAAACGGATACAAACTTTGATAGTTTTATTTTTTCCGATGAGATGCTCAATGCCAACACAACAAACGATATAGACGCGCCAACAGAAACTTCTATGGATTTCGAAAAAACCTACGAGAAAGAAATATTAGCAATGGAGATAATTATGAAGAAGATGCAACAAATGATCCAGAAGAAGTAGATAATGAAAACAATGACCTTACATATCAAATCGGCAATGATAGGGAAAAACATTTTGATGAAGAAAATAATGATTCTATTGAAGAAGTTTCACGAAAAAGGAAGAGAAGAAGATTTTCTAATCCTGCTGAATAGAAATAAAATACTAATAAAGTAAATATTGAGAAAAGGGTTGAGCATATGGGTAGAAAAATTAAAAATTCGTCTAAAAGAAAACTAAGAGAGTAATGAAACCATTAAAAAACCGGTAAAGAAATAATAATTCAGTGTTACAAATTGACGGATGAAGAGCGAAAATTAATTTTCGTGAAGTTTTGGTCCCTCTCGTGGCCTGAGAAGAAGTACTACATTTCTGCAAAAGTCTTGAAAAATGAAACGAAAAGATCAAGGCATAGAAAGGAACCGGAAGTAAGTTAGAGGACATCTTCGTATAAGTAGTTTCTTAAAAACAAAAGCGAAAAAATTAGGGTTTGTAAGCTAATGTTCTGCAATACGTTAAGAATAATTTCTATGAGAACCATATCAGAGTTGATAAAAGATGAAATGTATAGCCCAGCCAAAAGTGAAAATGAACAAAATAGTGATAAAAATATACAAAAAAAGCCTTCATGTTTCGATGAAGGAAAGCCAAATTTGAAAAAAGATCTGCCTAAACTTGAATCACACTATTGTCGAAAATCGTCAACAAAATTATATATAGAGCCAACCTTCAAAACCAAATCAGAGCTTTATTTAGTGTATAAAGATATTTGGTGTGTAGAACATATAGCTCCATTATCCATTGTCAAATTCTCAAACATGTTTGAAGATCTGAATTTAGCATTGTTTTTGCCCTGTTTACAGGGAGCAATTATCAAGAAAGAAGAAGCACGGGAAGCAAAAGTAGACAAAAATTCAAAAAATAGGGTATTTAGGATAGACCTCCAGTCAGGACTTTTGTGCCCGAAAGCGAACATATCAGCTCTGTACTCTAGCCATCTTTGTACTCTGAACAAAGATGGCTATTGTTTTCTCTGGCATGAAGGTCAAGGAGAGCTCAGTGCCAAGTGTTTTTCATCTATAATTTGTAACTTCTTGATAAGTAATGTAATTCCCCAGCTTGAGCCAATGCAACAAATAATATTATATGGTAACGGTTGTAGCGCTCAAAAACGTAATTGCACTTTGAGCAAAGCGATGTTAAATCTTGCACTCGTAAAAACATGTTTGTATCATCCAGAAATATTTAGAAAACGGCTTCACCCAAATGGAGTTCGACTGTATGCATTCTACCATAGAGAGGCAACTGAAAGATAGAACCATCAATGTGCCAGCTAATTGTCTCCCTATGTAAATTGGCTCAAAAAAATTCTTCTTTTTTCAAAGACTTCAGTAAACTCAATTTAATAAAATCAATTAGACCTGGATTCAAAGTTGGTGATCCAACTGTTAACAATCTTAGAGCACTGAAGTATAAACCAGATGGTAAAATCGAGTTAAAGATTAAACATTTCGAGGAATTTCAAGATATGTCTATAATATCAAAACCAAAATCGAATTATGTATCAATTGACTTTCTTCCTTTATTGTACAAAGAAGAATTAAAAATTGAAAAAAAAAAGTTATTTATGTTGTTTCATTAGTACTTATTTTCGATTCAATAAAAATAATGCCTTAGGTATGTGAATAATAGCGTTGTTTTATTAGATGAAATCTGCATAAGTCCCTCTTCCTACTGGATATAAGAATGAATTTTGCATAACTCCTTTATTTTTCAGCAGGTAACTATTATAAAAAGAATCAATACTTGAAGCAGTTCCCTAAATGTATTTTTCATCTAAATTTCGTTTTCACCCAGATTACATTATTTTTAAAGATTTAAAATAGTTTTTTTGTTCTCCTGTAAAATTTAGGTTCTTGGACCTGCAATTTTCACATTAGACCGACGATATGTTTTTGAGGATAGTGTACTATACACATTTTAATATTTCAAAGAGTGTCGTATATACTATGGTGATTGTGAAGCTATTTGGACAGATACGACATTATTACTCATCACACCGAATACGTCAATTATCATAAGCATTTCAGGCACATTATAATGATCTGCCACACCATGAAATTCGAATCATCAGTTATCGCAAAATTAAAACTATCGCGCGACAAAATGAATTCAAGCGGCCTCACAAACCGATGCGACAAGAAACAGTATACCCTTATGTTGACAGTTATAAGCGAAATGAATGAAAACCAAACTTCAATGTCATCAACATGAGTTGAATATTAGTTGAATATAGAGGTACTCACATTGAAGATAATCAGCGCTGTGAAGACTATCAGTTCAAATTATTTTAAATGAAAGAGAAGAATTCAAGTATAAAACCAGACGGCAGCTGGATAGAAAACCACTTTCAATATACAAAATCAAGCAAACAAGGTTCCACATGCAGAAGTTCTCCAAAAGAGGCAGCAGTACATGAAGATACGTTACTTCACAGGATCAATAGAGAAAAGTGTGTACCATCCCCTGAGAATACACCCACTTTTTCTTTGAGATTAGTAAAGATTACAGCAAGAAGAGTGTCCCACTCATAGAAGTTGTCAGTTTCAGCAGAGATTCATCTATCCACATTCCACATTCTATCAAGATTAGTCCTTTCAGTTATTCAGACGCTTCAAGGAATAATCTCAAATTTATGAACGATTTATAGCAATTTATGGTATCGTATCATTGTTTGAATTACGGGATTTAATCATCATCAGTCTAGCAAGAGATGAATCGGTAAAACTCTAATTGAGCGTGCATACAGTCTCTGCGACACAAACAAAAGTCTTGCTAAGAAATTGTGCCACATCAATAATGGATATTTAACATAGTTTGTAGAACAGTCATCAGTCAGAAAACGACAATTGTGCTATTCTCAATTCAGAGATATGTTGGAAAGGATATGAAAAAGAGGATAGAATGAATTAGATCTAATACAACCTTACTTTAGACACTGGTTCACCTTTGAAAGCAACATAAAGTTGTGGAACCAAGAGACAGTTGAAAATCCATATTGAAGAGAACAAAAACCAGCATATTAATAAATGTGGAAAAGGGTTAGACCCATTAACATAGCATAATGTAGTCCAAAGCTGAAGTCATTCTTCGAAAGTGATATTGTTTATATCAGATGAAATAGATGAAAATTTACAAATCAAAGGTAATTCAATCCTGTAAAAGTTAAACACCTGGTTTGAGGAAAATTCCCAACATTTGAATATTTTGAAAAAAAGCTTACTAGTCCTAGACAAAAAAAATAGCTAGTTTGAACATGAGAATTGAAGATGATAAAATTTCTCCGTGCTCTACGGGCGAGTTTTTAGGTGTATACTCGGATGAATTTCTCAGCTGGAAAACTCATTGTGGAACATTTATATCAAAATTGAACCCCATGAATTATCTTCTGAAACCTTCGTAATATTTCAGACCAGAAACAGCTGACTATGCTGTAATATGCTCAAGTCGATGCCCGTCTTCGGTATGGTACTAATTTCTGGAGAGCTTTCTCCTCATGCAAATATGTTTTTGTCACCCAGAAAAAGATTATAAGATGTATAGCAGGAGTCCAGCTGTGGAATAAATGATCAAATTTTGAAAACACCAACATTATCATGCCGGTATATATTTCAATGATTTCATATATGATAACAGTAACTGTTTCAGGTGTTAGACAGACTTTCATATGCCAAATGCATTAACTTACAATTCCCCCAATGTAATGGGGCTCAGATTATTCAATTTGCTACCCTTTGAACTGAAAAACTCCGATACTATTCACAGCTTCACAATTACACTTGAGCCTTTCTTATTATTATTTTATTTCACCGTAGTGTGCGCTGGTCAGGCCCTATCCCCCGAAGCCCCGATACATTCGGGAAGGCGCGCCAGCATTATTAACCAAGTAAGTGATCATAGGGTTCGAGAATCATATGCTCTGAGCAAGCGCAGTGAGCCAAGAATGACAGCCTTCTGCATCTGTGCGGCTAAGATTTCTGCCTTAGTGCGGCAAGCTAGTATGATTTTAAGATTCGAGAGCAGAGAGGGCATCATTCCACCAAGGACTCCAACAATCAGAGCAACCATCTTAACAGAGTGATCTGGATAGAGTCTGCGGAGTTCGAAGAGAAAATCTCGATATTTTATCCGTTTTTCCTCCTCTTTTCTAACGATATTTGTCTCGACAGAAGCTAAAAACTCCACGACAAATATCGTTCTGCTCTGGTGGTTGAGAAGGACTACATCAGGCTTATTAGCTTGTATGAGCCTGAGGGTGTGGAACGAATAGTTGCAATAAATTCGTCACTTCTCGTTCCACACAACGGATTCAATATCCCCCGGAACGTAGGGCAACATCAGTGTCTCGTTAATACCGTAGGAGTGCCGTAGATGGTAATATAGCACTGTTGGGGCCACGTTATGTGGATATAGGCCGAGACCGCATATGCTGTACATGCTGATAGCAAGTGCATTAGGGTCTCGGGCGCCTCGCGGCATGCCCTCCACCTTGTGTCAGGAACCTCTATACCCATCACACGACTGCGGTAGACTAAGGTGTTGAAGACACCATCCTGGCAAGCCATGATGAACCCCTCAGTTTGCGACTTCAGACCACTTGACCTGAGAAAAGCAACCGTCAGGCGCTTTGATAAGCCAAGGTCTCCAATGTTATTGAAGAAGACCCCATGCAGTGGCTTCTCCTTGTGTCTCCGCAGAAGTAAGGTGATCTCTGCGGTTTTTATTTGTGCTTTTTGCTGAACGGGTTTCAACTCGGTAACAGAGTTGTGGTCACCTCGTTCAGTGTCGAAAAGTATACCGAGTTCATCAGCTGCTCGGGCAGCTCCAATTCCTGCTCTCTCATGGTCACGGACCATGCAGAGAAGGGGATCCGAACTCCTGACGACTTTACAGGATGTATCTAGTACCATTCTGTCATGTAGATACTCCAAACTCAAAAGTCCAGGGCCTCCCTCTTGTCGGGGGAAGTACAATCGTGGAACGGACGATTTGGAATGCAAATTCCTATAGAGATGCATCATTTTTCGGGTCTTAACGTCGAATTGATACAGCTCCTCCCGAGTCCACTTCACTACTCCAAACGAGTAGGGTAAGATTGGAACGGCAAGCATATTTGTTGCAGCAACTGTGTTCTTCCCCGACAGTTCCGATGACCAGATCTGTCGAAGTTTGTGTTGATACTTGCCACCCTTCATGGTATCAGCCAGAGGAGTAGTTGTTTTCTGATTGGTATCAGTCTATTAACCTACAGTATAGGGAGTTGAGACTGGCCTGGACGAATTGTTCCTTCAGCTTTAGATGATTTGATTTATAGACAGTCTTCAAGTATGCCCACTGACTAAATGTGAAATGTTTTCTTTCCTTATACGAGGAATTGGGAAAATTTCGGATATGCGGTTGGTTACCTCGTTCACAGCCAGATGGAGCGATGACAAACCTGTTGTTTGGTATCTGCTCCAGCCTAATTCGGGGAATGATACTCTGGAGAAATTCGATTTTCAATTATCGGAAATTATCGAATTTATGTGGATGATAGACACTACCTCCCACTAACGAGTGGCCAAACAGCCCGAAACCGGTCTTCGAGTGTATTTCAATAATTGAAAATCTATTGCGGCAATTGTATGGCCAACAGCTTATGCAGAAATGACTTCAGTGAAGAATCCTGCACTGACACCTGACGGATATAATCCAACGCTCTTCGTGGTATAAGCCTGGGTAGTAGTTGTTTTCTGATAGGTGTCAGTCCATTAACCTACTGTGTAGGGTGTTGAGACTGGCCTGAACGAATTGTTCTTTTAGATGATTTGATTTGAAACATAGCTTCAAATTTAGTCCCCCAAAATAAAAAACTCTTGTTTATTTCAACCGGCTGAGCTAGCAATAGTAGGATCAGCTTGAAAAACGGCCTATATATTTTATCAATCACAAGTTAACAACTGATTCCCTTCACAAATTAGCATCATCTTCCCATCGCTCTCCATATTCATTATTCCCCCTTCTCATATTTTGTTGATATCATTTTCAATTTTCCAACTAACCCTCTGAGATTTTACTAATGACACTTTTCTTAGACAATAGAACGTTCATCTTGTTCAATATTTCTCCAATAATATGATTAATTCATTCCAAAATTAAAGAAACTATCAGGATTCTTCACTTTCACTTCAATTCAATAGCGAAACATGTTACAGAAAAATACTTTGCATTCATCTAAAAATATTTTAAGCTATATCTTCGAGTAGGTATATGTGATTTCATACAAGTATGAAAAAATCTCGTACTGAAACTCCACTGAAGAAAAAACAATTCGCAATAAATGACCTTTGCTAACACTAACCTGCCGCTAGAGTATAATTTATTTTATAAGGACATATCTCCAGGAAAAAGGGCGAGGAGAGCGATCCCATTAGAGTCGCCCCCGACCGTCTTTCGATCCTGTAAGTAGCCCTAGTCCAAAAGCATATCTCCTCGACGAATTTATCACAGTCCAATTCATCCAAAGGGAATACGTTCACTTGAAGGGATGTCTTATCTCGACCGCTGTTGCTGATGTCATCCACATATGCCGTACTGGATATCTTTTCTATCCCTGAAATAAACGTTATCTAATATAAGAACTAATTGAATTGAGTTTCTGCGATTGCAGCATTATCGAAATCAATAAACATTACAAAATATAACTAATCTTCATTTAATGATATCGCCCATATTCTGAAACTTTTGATTCTGAAATGATTTTCTTCGTCAGGCTATACCGAATGTGATCAACATTGTACTAGGAAACTTTTTACTGACTGCTGCTGACTCTGTCTTCTGAACTGGTATATACAGATGACTCAATCATCTTGTTTCAGGAAAAATTTGATAATATAGTGAGGAGAGAGCCAACCCTGAATGCTATTACAAAGATGTACCGTAAAAAAAAGACTTAACGAAATTGACCATAATAGCATTCACTAAGAAGAGCAGGACAGTACAGGAACTATGATCTTGGATTTTAAGATGAAAAGATACGTCTCGTGAGAGAATTCGATTATTTAGTAGTTTCCTGACCTGAAAACCTGAAAACAGTAATACGAAGACAGAAATTGTTAAGTAAGGTTAGGTTAGGTCCAAAGTGAGTGGGTCTATTCGAACCTCCACCTATTCACACTCGACCAAATAAACCCAGCTTCTCAACGAAGCCGATTAGTTTGTATAGTGAGTGGTATTTCAGGTCAGATAGTAAGAGTACGGCTTTGCCAAACTCTAAAAACCTGATTTGGTCTCCAGCGGGGCAGGTACAAAGTATGTGCTCTGCTGTTTCACACACGACACACACTGTCTTCCGACAGTTCGAGTCTCTAAATATGATGATTCAAATGACAGTGACCTGTAAGAAGGCCTGTTAGACATCGTAGTTCATCCCTACTGCAGTCCAACAACTGTTTGGTATCAAGCTTTGAAGGGTGAATGAACGCCATAGAGTGAGCTAATCCTGGAAGATTCTGCCAGAAGTTCCTGCCAACCAGAACCAACCAATGACAGGTTCTGCCCAATGAAGCTGCTTGCAGCAACCTCCTTTGCAAGGGAGTCAGCAGCCTCATTGCCTTCCATGCCAGTATGGCCAGGAATCCAGACCAGAGATAATCTATTGAGTTTTCCTAACGAGGAGAGTGGTTTTTGGCAATTTGCTACCAATTTTGACGTTGCTCGATAGAAGCCAAGAGCTCCCAACGCCGCTTGACTGTTGCAGAATATTTTTATTGACTTGTGTACGAGGTTGGATTCTTCCATTCTCTCCGCACACAATTCAATAGCGTAGATTTCCGCTAGAAATACAGCAGAAACAGTACTGATGTCAACCACACGAACATCAAACAGACCACGTGACACAGAAGTGTATTTTGGCATAAACCTCAAATACCCAAAGAATATTGATTTGAGGCCACAACGAGATAAACAATCAACCCAGTATCCTTAGAGACAGTTAAGCTGTATTTGGGACACAGGTAAGTTCACTGTTATCAAAAGTTGTGTGGAAATATCACGAAGAAATATGGGAACAAGCGAGCAGGACTATTTATATAATGAAAATACACCAATAAACACACTAGGAAGGGAGGAACTATCTGGAAAAAACTTGGAGAACTACCTCAACAGAGAAAAGATCAGCTCAGATTAATTGAAGGGCAGCTACTCATTGAATGTTGTCCTTTTGAATTATACCAGAACAAAATATATCTGTGTTATGTAGACCTTGACTTCTGGCAATGCAATGAAAGATGTGAAGCACTGGATCACATGTGTCGATATTTTTTTTGAAACTATGCAAATCATGTTCCAAATATTGTTAGAAACACCTAATGTGAACTTTATATGAACTAGCACAGAGAAAAAAAGGCAAAATTTAATGTCATTCTCTTATCAATGAATAATTTCCTGTGAAATACTTTTTGGTAAGATCCATCGACCTCATCTAGTTAGTCTCTCAGTCATTTTTTTAGTTGACAGAAAACTCTTGAATAGAAGTTCACTCAGTTATTGCCTATCATCTAGTTTTGTTGAGATTCATATGAACATGAACATCAATTATCAGTCAATATTTTAAAGGGTCCTGCCTTTTTTTTAACTCAATAGTTATTTCTGTGAAACCTCACCTCAATAATCGAGAGCAAATAATTGTGAATGTTTGCTTATTCTTGAGTGGGCGTTCGACTGAACGAAAGTCAGAACTTGTGGTCCAGAAAATGAAAAAGCATTCCAGACGAGCTTGAAAGAATCGATTAGTGGGATGTTGTCTTTCCATGTCGATATATTGAATTACTGATTGAATATTTCCAACGTGGGGTAATCATTATTGCTCCTTGTTTGAGACATCATTTCTGCTAGGAAGATTATATAAAACAGAATCGTGACCTACATTGCGGGAAAAGTTACCAAGATGAATTCGTAAATTTTAGATTTGAATAATCGAAGAAGGACTATTACTTTCCAAAATTTTTGACCAAATAACTAGAGATATAACTACTTTATATACTCCTTGTGATATCAGAATAGTCCACACAACTGAAAGTATACTCTTCATTTACAGGGCCGGCTATTATTATGTTTCAATGAAATAACTGTAGAAATGTTTAGCTTTTTTCCAATCGTACCACAAAACTGAACTGAGTTATAAGGGAATGAAATTCTAAAAATGTGGTATTTAATTATATCACCAATTCAATTTTGGGAATCTTATCAAGATTCTGAATAGTTCACTGGTTTGTTTCATCACCATTCAGAATTTAATTGAAATATGTTCATCGTTAAAAAGTCCTATATAAGGAAAACTTGCAGAATATGCCGTTTGATGGAAAATTAGAAAAATTCGGGGTTGTTTTGTGTGTATTTTTTTCTGATTTGTATCTCAAAGAAACTTCCAAACACAACCATAATGAGGGGTAGAGAACCAAAAATATTTTTCCCAAGAATATTTCGTCTTCAAGAAATGAGTGGAGTAGTTTTCTTCAATTGTAGACCAATCAATGTAGACCTCCAATGATTCGAATTATACTAAAATATTTTATGGCTCCTAGCATTCCACTCAAAATTATTGTTGACATCCTGGTATGTTTGATAGTATGAAGTATACCTGAAATATGTTTCTTTGTCGTGGAAAATTACACTTAGGGCATTATGGAAATTAACTGATTCAGTTGACACTTCTGTATCTAGGGTAATCTATCCAGTCAGTTTTTCTGTCAAATTTCGAAAAAAGTAGAACACGCTCATGAGAATAAAAGTGTACAGTGGAGTGTTTTTTAGATTGATGTTATAGTGAAAACCATGGAAATGTTCTCAGAGGGAGAACCTTGAATAGAGCGAGCTATATTCGTATTCTGTCTTCAAACTTCTAAACAGAGTGGATGGATTCAGATGTGATGAATCTATTAAGTCTGTCATAATAACATTCACCAAGAACATAGTACCAATCCAAGGTATGAGGAAACTGAAGGCCATTATGCATGAATGTAAGATAAGAGTACAATAAAGAACCTATGAAATCTAATGAAAGAAAAGAGATCATTGAAGTTGAACTGTCAAAAAGATGCTGAGCCCGTGTGATTGTAGAGTTCTGAATGAAATGCAAACTCAGTAATAATTAAAAAATCAGACGGCTCGCCAGCAGTGAAAAAACCAATGTTTATTTTTAATGAAATGCTTCACTACTATTAGATTTTCTAGTCAAACGATGAGTTCAAATTAGACATTAAATACATAACCATTTGGGTTTCTGAGTTTTCACCATTTTATTTTTTTTATTGCAATATGATGGAATCATTCATCGCCATTTTTCTTGTGGGTGGAGAATCGAACCTCATTACTCGTATCAATGCTGCTGTTGCAGAATAATCGGCAACTCTCAAAGGTTTCAACGAGAAATGAGAGCAATGATTAACGAAAAAACAGATTTTTTTTTTAATGTCTGTACTATTATAAAATGTAGGAGAAAACTGTCATCGACCAATGCTTCAACTTTTTTGCAAACATAACGAACATAAAGTTCGTTACGAATGCATGTTGTATTCTGAAAATGATATCAATTTCAAGAAACTCCCTTATATTCAATCATCAACCTACAATATCGTTTCACGAGTTTTCAATGAAACTAACTCCTTCAGTATTATGATCAATATTACTCAAAGAAGTGCCAAGGTCAAATCATCAACTTTAGCCAAACTATACAAAAAAACCATAACAATTATTGCAATTTCCTTTGAAAAAAAGGTCATATATATTTCAAACATAACAGAAGAAATAGATATTCAAAAATATCACAAATTACAGAATATTCTAGCTTTTCACAACATTTACATCACTGTACTTTATTTCCTGAAATGCATGCCTGATAAAAACTCAGTAATCTTGTTACCTTTGATCTCGCGGAAAAACTTCGAAGTGAGTAGAACTTCTCCAGATAACGTGTTTATTTGCATGTATTCCCCAGTTATATTAAGAGAGTATCTCATTTGCATTCCGTATTCGCCATAAATATTTCTTGCTCCTAATTCGATTAAAGGATAGGTTTTCATCTGAGAAGTCGTGATTTCATTTGGAATCTTCAGTTCTATATCAGTCATTGTCAAGTAGACGCTCGACACTGAAAAGAAAATGACAATATTTAATTTTTTTAAATTCATAACTACACCTAGAACAAGTAAAAATTTTATATTATAATGATAAAGTTCTTGAATTCAAATTGTCAGGAAACTAGTTAAATATTCATTTATGTACTGCTCCGAACCAAACGATGCACGTCTAAATTTGTATAATATTATCGAAATTTCCAAAATACAATTCTCTTTGGTTGCTTTCGAATTCTCGAGCATTGTATTCAATTAAATCTTGTCTGTTTTGAGATTTTGAAAACATTGATCTGAGTACTTCCTTTCTGAATCGAGGTAAACAATCGGTTATGAAAAATCAGAGCTAATTTTCATATTTCAATTATTTATTGTAGAGGCGATATAAGAAAATATATCTAAATCTGGCATTCATACATTATGGCGGTCACCAGAAAAATCTAGCGAAAAGAGTAGAAATAGTTAGTTCTTCAAGGAGATCATAGTGAGTAAAAAACTTAATTCGGTTTATGCAAAAATTCTGTGTTATATCAGAAACCTGACAAAGGACTGTGAGACCTTTTTTTGCTCACTGGAACCATTTTTTTCAAGTCTCCAGAAAACAGCCTAAGGAACACATTACGTTTTCCCCCATGATGTGTGACACTCATTTCAACATATGTGTTTCCTGTACTAGTATGTACAGGTCATATTCACAATTTTTATTGCTTCTTGTGATCCAAAGCCTCACAAACGCATAACATATGACGAGCTGTCTCTGCACCTGTGTTGCATTGCCTGCAAATGAGATCTTTGTTATACAGGTTGTTCAGGTGTTCTATCAGTGAGAAGCTCTATAATTGTTCTGAGCCGATCCCTGCTTTGTTGAAGTAGTTCTTCGGTTTTCTTTTGTCTATGAAGGTTTTCCCGTGTGTGTTTCTGGGTATGTTAAACAGTCCTCTTTATATTTCTCGAACTGGTTCCGTACCAAAGATTTTGGTACTATCACATCTGGTTCAGAACCTGCATATGGAGTTGAGGATCCGTGTGTAGCTCACTCAGGTTTTTCGTTGCCAATAATACCTGAGTTACTTTGCACTCAGTATATAATCAATCTAGTCCGCATTGTCCGCACAAGAAAAACACATCGAGGAGAAACCNGTCCGTCGCGTATTTCTGATATGTACCGCTCTTGGCGGAATCAAATGTGCCAAGTGACTTGAAAACTTTCCGTGAAAGAATCTATAGAAGAGGGACAAATTTACTTTCTGAGTTCACGATTATAAAAACATATCCGATTTTTCATTGAATCAATGGCAAATTGATAGCTTGTTACGTTCACGAGGTTATCTGAATAATTAACAAATGAAATTTTCCGTTTGCTGTGTTTATTTTGTTGAAAACCACAAATTCCTTATTCTCTACTCCATATGCTTTACTTCGGTAAATGAATTCAAAAACACTACATGCTTGACGTGAAGGATATTAGTTTCTTGCTGATTTTCGACTTTTTTCATAACAAATCAGTACCTTGTACGACTGCAAATTAATGTTTCATTGAAGAAGCCACCAGTCGCTGTCTAGAAATGCTGGTTCGATACTTTTTAAAACGTCATAACTAGAAACGTAAAATTGAAATCTCACAAATGAATCGTCAGAAAACCAAACCTTAATGATGACCAATTCCACCCAAAAATATTTTTCCGAAGAAAAGATAACGTTGTTCCATGAGTTCAACAAGTTTACAAAATATAAACTTTTCCAGGGTTACAACAGCTACTTTCAGTCAGAACATGGCTAAATTTTTTATTCAAACGAATTGAATGTAACGATAAATATGAAAACTCAATATAGCTGAAAAAAAAGCTTATTCAATGAAATATGTAGGTGTTGTTCAGTATATTTATATTCAGTATTATTTGTTTACTCTCTGTTTTACCCTGTATATAGTAATATTTAGTCTGATGTTCAGTTGTTGTAACTAAAACAAGGTTAATAAAAAAATGTTTTTGACTAACATTGAATTTCAATGTTTCTTTCTTCCAGACCGCATTAAACCTAGATATTTCAGGAAAAACATAACATTAATTGGTCCTTCTACGCCTTCACCGAATCAGCCTGTTGATTCCTATCAGTAGTGAAGGGAAACAAGATAACATTTCTTCTGGTGGCTTACAGTTGGAGCAGAGTAATGACATCGATGACAAAAACTCCACTTCTGAGTACTCACATGCAGACACCAAGAAGAAAATGTCACGGCGGGGTTCCATTCAAGATAGGAACAAGAGAATCTCCACTTACAATTAGCCTTCAAGTTATCAAGTTATATGAATGCCATTTACCTCGTTTTGCTAGAGATGGTAGATATTCTTTAGCCCACCTTTGCCAGAATAAATTTGTGAGTTTTTGTGCTGCCTTGTCATTTGTTCAATAAACACAAATCCTTTTCATCGGTTTCAGCACAAGGTAACGCTGAATAATTAGTTCCAATCAAAAAATGATTTGGAGTTAGAGCCTCCATATCATCTGAATCATTGGGTACATGGGTAAGTGGTCTCGAGTTCAAAATAGATGTTCTATTTTGTTATTCAATTATATGAGTTGTGTTATGTTACAAATCCACTAAATCCACTAAAATCTACTTCTCACATTCTCTTATATACTCTGTTCATAATTCACTACTATAACAATTCAGTATTTTTATAAATGTCACACGTTGTACATGTACATCAACCTGTGGACTTGATGTATTTATTCATTATCAATGGTTCGTTGTTTGTTATTTTCATAATGTATATCTACTATTACTCATCAATCTTAGTATTATTATTATTATGCCTTGTTCAGTTGATCTCGTTGATGAGTTGATCAATAAACTGACTTCCCTCCTCACTACGTTCTTCATCATAATCATTCAAGAAGAACCGAAGAATCAAAAAATATAAAAAGTGTTTCCAATTCTTGAGACTCTAGATGAAGGAAAGGAAATTGAAAGAATTTTTTCACAATGAACAAATTGAAAAATATGGCATTTTGTCACTGAAAACCCACGATATCCTACGACAAAATTTATAGAAAATTCCCAAGCGTTTTTCTTAGAATTACGAATCTATAAAATATTATACTCAGATCCACATCACCTAGTATTTTCTCATAAGAGAGTATTTTACCAGCTAAGTTGGACACTTTCCAGCCATTGTGATATCAAGAGATTGAAACCATAATGAAAAACTTTTGGGGGAAAGTAATTCTCTAGATAGAAATTTTCGCCGAATGTCGGAAGGACTCTAGATAATTATTCCACAGGAAGCGAAGTTTAAACATCTATTCATGGTATTTCACTTTCTTTTGTTCCACACTCAATTCACTCTACTTACTTTTCTTCAATGTTAAGTTTCAATGTTATGAAAGAACTCAAGGACAGTTTCGCTGTTCCTGAATGGTAGGGTGCGACAATTGATAAAAACAAAAACAAATCCGTTTACAGTTAGAGGAGTGGAATAATATACAACGTTATCAATGTGTGAATCCGATTTAAGTCGACAAACTGAAGAAAACTGAACGATGTGGTTTCCGCTTCGATCAACCTAGTCAGTTTTCAAATTTACTTATGTGCATTTCCCGAACAATGATAAACTAGGATGATAGTATGCAAGTCATCACTACCCTCAACAAGTTATTTATGAATGATTTAACTGAAAGTAATAATGGCATAGATTGAAAATTTTCATGGCAACTTGATTTATGGCAGAAAGTAAAGAATCTTTCTTTTATATTTAGCAAACAGTCCGTATAACCGGGGAATATTCATTCTGGAAGATTAGACTGGTGATGAAGTTTCACGAAGGTCGTAAAAAGAACTAATTGTCTTCAAAATAGACACTTACCCCTTCAATAAACACGATCAATAAATCCAGCTCTCACTTTCACTTCGGGATAGTTTTCATTCAAAGAAAAAATGTATCAGAGATATTAGCAATACTATTGATTTCTTTCGTTTATTCAGTCACAGGTAAAGGAACAATCATAATGGAATAGAATTTTGGGGTCCATCAACTAAACATCAATTCACATTCATAATACAGATAAAGCAGTACGCATCCTATTGGATTTGAACCAAAGGAAAAATATTCACTTTGACAAATGTATATAATTATATACAAAAAAATATTTTGACACACTCTTCTGACGTACATACGCATATGACGTAAAATAAAGTATTCAGGCTACCAAATTATAATTATAAAAGATCGCCAAACGACCTCTATAAAGTATGTAACTGAATAAGTGTAAAACATTCAAGGAGGTGATTCCTCATCGAAAATAAGATAGGATCTTTCATATAAAAAAACTTCATTGGAGCATCCCTTGTTAAGATACAGCCCCTTGAAGGGGGAACATAAAATTTGTACCTATAACAATTTTTTTCACAAGCACTGANAGTTCCATCTTTCGCCTACGACCCTCTTGAACTATTGATGAGACACCGGTCTTGCTGGCATGTAGAATGAGAAATGCCGAAAGAAAAAATTTCCCACCCTTAGGTTTATACAAAATTATGAGCCTGATGTAGCTCTTCACAATCATCACTGCAACACGATATTGCAAGACAAATATCGTCCGAAAAGAGAAGAAAAAGCAGACCGTAGACTTTGAGACCACTCTGTTGAAATGGTTTTTCTGATTATTGGAGTCCTTTCTGAAATGATGCCATCTATCGTCTCGAATCTCAAGATCATCAAGGCACTAAGATGGGAATCTTGGCAAAACAAATGTAGAAGGCTCGTTGGCTCGTTGCGTCTGCTAAGGGCTCATGGTTCTCGGAGTCAATGATGATGAGTATGTTTATCATCAACCAAAAATCGGTCTCACGCTGTGGTTGTATACCGTCAACGATATTTCAACTTAGGAGGTATATAAGATTTTCAAGGCAACAATACAGGGTGTTTCAAATTCGATCCTCACCATTGAGATCTCGGAAACTGAGAGATACGAAGATGGTTAGCAAACGAAAATGCAAAAGTATTCCTCCAGTTGTTACTCAATCGTGTTTTTCATAATATTAGACAATACTTGGAAATGTCATTTGAAGCATTTTGTTTTCAATAAAGCAATTTGGACGAAACTTCGAATGCCCGTAAAAACTCACCCGTAAAATGATGAAAGTATACAACGCATTTCAACGAAAACTTGACCCCCCCTGTAAGTCAGAATCGGAAGTGTAATCGAAATTTTCAAAGGACACGTCAATTATAATTTCCCGGTGGACTAATTCTGATATGGAAATCATACCCGAAAGTTCATCCCCCTGCGATCAACAACAATCCCCCCTATTTTTTTCAATGGCATTCCTTACATTATTGAAGATATCCGGGGTCAGAAATCGGCATTCCCGAACAATCTCTATCGCAGGTCTTTTAGATTTGTAGAATTTATTTAATTAGTAGTAAACGTTTTGAAAATTGGCGACACTATTAGTTTTTTCTGCACTGGTAGTTTTTGTTGAATCTAGTTGTCGCAGAACAAAAAGTAGATAGTAGGCCACTGTCACTTCTTAACGAATTATTATTCAAACATCCTTGTTCACTGTGTTCCAACATGGTTTATTCTAGTAAAGAAAGAATTGAAATTGTTGCAACCTATTATCGAAATAATGAGTGTGCTGGAGCTGCTGCAAGAATTTATAATACGTATCATCCAGAGCACAACGTTAAACAGAAGACTGCCACAGAGAATTGTTCGGGAATGCCGATTTCTGACTCTGGACATCTTCAATGATGTAAGAAACGCTTTTGAAAGTATACTGTATTATTGTATGGAACTACATGGAGGTAATTTTTGAACACTTTATCCGTTGATTGTGTTGCCATTGATATTACTTTTTTTGCTTTCCTCAATAAAATGAGCAACAGCGAATTTTCTGTCTTTTCTTGAATAAAAAGTTTAATATTTAATTTCTCAATAACAAATGAACCAATTTCGAAAAAAATAACAAAATCAATAGTGGGACAAAAGACCTTTCAAATGATGTATCACTCGACGCCCCATGCCATTGAAAAAAATAGGAGGGTACTTACTGACCGCAGGGGGGTGAAGTTCCGGATATGATTTCCATATCAAAATTAGGCCCCTAGAAATTAAAAAAGACGTGTTCTTTGAAATTTTCGATTACACGTCCGTTCCTGACTTACAGGGGGGTCAAGATTTCGTTGAAACGTCCTATATATTGTAAACTCATCAATGTCATGACGTGTGTGTTGACTGAAAATTGATATATGTCTGTCAAAACCTGTAACAACAGTATAGCAAGCGCCAAACATGATGGCGAGCACGTAATCATGCGCACAAACTCATTTTCAATGTAACCCGCACTACAGCTCTTGCAAAACATACAAATGTTCTGTACAAGGGCGTATCATTACTTGTCCTTCAATGCTGTTGGTGTTTGGCATTATCTAAATAATTTGTGTTCTTTCTGAAAATTGTCATCGCTCAACAAACGTTCACTTTTGAATAAGTGTAACATTTTAATGAACTGTACTACTACCTATAATACTAAATAAAATATGAAAAGCAATTACAAAGAAGTCATGTTCTATTTGCTACCCTGATTTAAACTAATTATAGGTACGACACTGGCCGGCAAGCGACTTATCGTAATCCAATAGTAATTCAGTTGGGAGAGTCTATACCTGCGCGATCTCTCGCCATCACGTTTAACGCTTGCTGTAATTTACTGTGGAAGAGAGTACTAATTGAGGAGATTCGAAAACTGGCCATTTGTAAACTAGAATATCTCACGTTTATTTTCGATACCGAATTTTTGGAATATTTGAATTTGTTGAAATTTTGAATATGTTGAAAAAATGTATATTTTGTTTTTCATTGTTTCAGCCATTTCACAAAAGTATTTTCATTCGGGTTATACGCATGCAAACAGGCTCTTTTTCGAACAGAAAATCAATTTGGTCATTTTACAGCAAAGTGCTTGAATATTCAAAGACAGATTTGAGTGGAATTAAAAACTTCGTGAACTTTTCCAGATGTATATTCTCAGTGATTCCCGAGACAGTCTGAATTTCTATCCTAAACTGATGAGGTCATGAAGAAAGCATAAGGAAAATTATTGCAACAAAATTGTGGTCGAGGTCAACTTCAATATCCGTAGTCAAAAAAATATTTTTATGTTTGCTTTAATCCATAAGTGAAATTGAAACAGTTTTTGGCTTTCCACTTCTCCATTGTTGGACAAAACATGTAGTGAACTTTCAAAGGAAGATGATTTATGGAATGATGATGGTTTCGAAAATGTCATATCTGAAGACACTTCTGTAATTTTGAAGAAAAACTCTCCATTCGGTTTTAGAAGAATTGTTTATGAGTATTTGGCTCTGAAAAGTATTCACTGAGTTTCAGCCTTTTGAAATTGTTTTCTTTATTCAGTTAGATTTTTTGGTAACTCATCTATCTATCTATTCATATAATCATCAAGATATTTCTCTTTTTGAAAATCTGAAACACAATATTCACTTTCTAAGTGTTTCTCTAGAAAGTGCTTCATTCTTTGAAAAATGATACATGAGGGAGATGTAAAATCTTCACAGATTGAGTGGGCATACTTGAAAACTGGCTGTAAATCAAATTATCTAAAACAATAATTCGTTCAGGCCAGTCTCAAATTATCTGCGCTGTAAGTTGATGGACTGAAACCTATCAGAAAAGAACCATTCCCCTTGCTAATACCACGAAGTGCATTGGATTTTATCCGACAGGTGTCAGTGCAGGACTCTTTATTGAAGTTATTCCTG